TCCTCCATACACGGGAAGCACCAATTCAGATCCTGGCAGGGCTGACGCTATCAGAGTAAATAGTCTGATTAGTCTGACGGATCAGACCATCGAGTTTGTGAAAAATGGAATTCCAGACAGGGCTGATTTTATCAGACTAAAATGGTCTGATTGTCTGATCTGACAGACTATTTTTCAATGGTTCCTGATTTTCCAGACTTGGTGATTTTCCAATAATGAGCACCTCAGAGTTGTGGTTTTCCGAATACTGAGAATTTCAGAGTATTGCCTATGCCAATAATGATCCCTCAGACTAAGTAGCGTACGGATCCTGGAAACCGGATATGTACGTACTAGGAAGCTTCCGCAACGTCACATGTTGCCGTGCCATCATGACAATCTCCTTGCTGTCACATGCGAAATCTGAACTTGGCAAATTTGCCACCCCTTGACCGACTCGGTGCCCCCTGTGCCACGCTGCACGTGGCAACCGTGATATCTCTGCAACGCTGTGTCAGCGGGAAAGCTGCACCGTGCCATCACTACGCGCTCTGTCCTGCACGGTACAGCACTGCAGAGGTGACGGGCATGGCGGCTCGAGACCAACGGCAACAGCCAGCCACCCATCAATTGGTTTGAGGACCACGGGGTCCTTCTTCTTCATAGCTCCCTTCACCACGCTGACTATGTTTCCTCGGCTGGCTCTCCCAGCAGTGTTCCAGTTAGTGCTCGAGTGACTCCTCCCATGACGGACCAAGAACGCGACCGGCCCGATTCACCTGATGCTGACCACCCTACTACCAAGGAGGGTGTGGGTAGGTCGGGGCTAGACTGCCTACGCCCCGCAGCAACGGCGGTCATACACGATACTGTTCCTGCCACCACGCCTGCCTCCCCTACGCCAACTCCAATAGTCTTAGCGCCCGCCATAGCGTCGTCTAGTAAGGGCCCCATCCCACTCACCGTGCGCACTGCATCTACCGTTCGGTACAGCGTGCCGTCAGTCACCAAATCAGTTGCGCAGAAGCGTAGTACCCAGAAATGGGTTCAGAGCACGATGGTTACTGGCGGTAGATTCCGCAAACCATCTCCACCCCCTTCAGCGCCGGCTGTGGCCACGCCCGACAAGCCACCTCCTCCTAAGTTGTCTAAGAAGGAGGAGATTGAGCAGAAGTGGCTTCTGGCTGAGGCGAATTACCACTCGAAGTGGCTTCCGTTTTTCCCATGGCTTCTGCTTGTGCGTGCCCAGGATGGGCATCCCTCGCTCAAGTGCTGCATCTGCCGTGCCTTTGGCAAGGAGACCACCAAGTATTCAGGCCCTGGCGACGGAGCGCGCGACTTACAAACGCAGACGATGCGGATACACGAGCACTCCAACGTCCACAAAGAGGCAGTGGAGCGGCAGTTGGAGATCGAAGAGTCGCTGGACGGCAAGCAGAAGAAGATCGACGATTTCACAACGAGGGACGTGGAAGGGCGGAGGGTGATTCGCCTTCTGCGTGCCACTGAGTTCATCTGTAAGGTCGATGCTCCAATCTCGATGTTCGCTCGCCTCCTACGTTTCATGTCTGAGCAGGACACGCCGGACATTCCAAGGCAGGCGTACGGCGTGTATCTTACTCGGTGAGTACCGCGTGTGCCTTCGAGTTAATCAAGTACTCACTACTTCAAATACTAACGCATTTATGTGGCACTGTTTCCATGCAGTTACGGGTTCCAAGAGATGGTGCACTGCCTTTCGTCTCTGCTTCTCTCAACTCAGCTGCGACACATCCAGAGCTCTCCGTTTTTGGGCATCAGCTGCGACGAGAGCACGGATCGCACGCGAGGGAAACACCTCATCATCTACTTAACGTTCCTTCGCTTCAACCGGCCCGTTACTGAGTTCTTTGCACACCTACCTGTTGAGAAGGGTGACGCGGCGTCCCTGCTCTCAGTCATCATGAGTCATCTGCAGACTGTCGGAGTGGACATCAACCGCATCTGCGCTATCAGCACCGACGGTGCATCGGTGATGGTTGGGTGTGACAACGGCCTGGTCCCTCGTCTACGGGAGTACATCCCTCACCTGATCTCCTCACATTGTATCGCGCACAGGTTAGTTGGTTCCACGGTTATCTATATTGCCCATGAACATGTACCTTGTACGCTTTACTAACCGATTACCTCTTTTGAATGTGCTTGTGCAGGGAGGCGTTAGCAGTTAAGGACGCTGCCCTTGCATGCCCAGATCTGGACATGATTGACAGAGTGATTCGGGCTGTGGCATCTCTACTGACGAACTCCAGCAACGTCAGCCAGCGCTTTCAGTACCTGCAGCGCACGATTCACAAAACCAACCTTGAAGTTCAAGGCATCCACGCGGTCAGGTGGCTATCGCGCGGTGTGGCTGTCCGTCGTTTCTGCAAGGTCCTCGGTGCATCGATCGTGCTCTTGCATGAGAGCAAGCACAAGTTGTACGAGACCGTCACCTCGTATAAGTTTCAGTTCTGCCTTTTCTTTCTTGCAAATGTGCTTGGCATCATGAACGAGCTCAACGTGAAGTTTCAGAAGCGTGAGGTAAGGTTGACCGCATTGTTCCCTTGTATCCTAAACCACCTCTGTTCTAAACCGTTACTAACATGTCTTGCACACCTCCCCATCCGAATCAGGTCGACGTGACCGAGATCGCCAAGGACATTGACGAGGCCACCGGGGACTTGCGCAGGCGCTACCTGGATTGCGAGGACTTGTTGGGCGGCGGAGAAAGCCCGGCACTGTCTGAGTTCCTGACATTGCACGGGAAGGTTCCGAAGAAGAAGGTGAAGGTGCGCGGAGTTGACAGCGAAGGTGAAGCAGTGACGCACAAGTACAAGCTTCATGAGAGGAAGATTAAGGGGCACGCTTACGGCAGCACGTACACGGAGTGCGCGAAGCTGTGCACGAAATTCGCTCAAGAGTATGTGAACCGGCTGAACTTCCGCCTTGCTGATCTACGCAAGCTAGCACCAACGAAGCTCTTTCGAGCAGCCAAGTGGCCCAAGCCTCGGCAGCAGCGCGACCGCAAGACGCGAGAGTACCTACACGGATGCGCTGCTATCTTCGACAACAAGCTCCCTGGCTTCGACCTGCGAGCAGCCGAGATGGAGCTTGGCTCGTGGGCTCCAATCATGGCGGCGCACCACGAGGATGAGGGGTTTTTTCAAGGGCTGAAGAATTTCATGGGTGTAGCTGAGTCCGCCAGGTATGTAATACGATGTGGCGGGGCTAGCTGTGTTTCTCTCACGCAATTGTGACATTCTGCTAACCGGTATGTTAATGCTCGTGTGTGATATTTTCAGGCGCTGGCCCAACATCATGCGGCTGTGGCAAGCCGCTGCCGTGATGCCGCTGTCAACCGTTGAATGCGAGCGTGGATTCTCACGCCAGAACGTCATCAAGACCTGGGTGAGAGGCTCTTTAGGCAACGCGCGCCTGGCGGAGTTGATGACGATTTCCCTACTTGACTACGAGATCGACTGGAACGCGGCCCTCGCCAAATGGCGTGAGGAGAAGCCAAGGCGCCCTGCCAAGACTCCAACCTTCGCTGCAGCAGAGAGGAAGCGCAAGGGGAAGGAGCTGGCGGACGACCAGGAACGTGAGAGGGTTGTGCGCGGGCTGGAGTGGGATCGTGATGAGTCGGATGCGGACGACGATGAGGAGGAGGCCTATGAGGAGGAGGAGGACCAGGAGCTGGACGACGACCCTTTCCGCGAGGAGGATGAGGAGGAGGAGGATGTGGAGGAGATAGGCATGGATCAGCCTGAGTGAGACCTAAGATTATTTGTAGCTGTAGGTAGGTAGGTAGGTGATTGCTGTAGGTAGGTGATAGCTGTAGGTAGGAGGAAGGAAGGATGCATCTGATCTGAGACTCAATGGATGATTGCCATGCCAGGACATTTTAACTTAGTTTTATTTAAGTCTGATTTTAGAATTTGAATAATGACCACCTCAGACTAAACCCTGAACCAATCCTGTGAAATCAGACTCAAGGAAGTTGGGGAAAATGTGCTTCAGACTAGACTGGAATTTTTTTTACCTGCTCTCAGAGTAGGTTTTTTTGAAACGTCAGCTCTGATTCCAGAGTAGTCAAATTTTCATCACTGAGAGCCTCAGAGTTATTGTTTTATGGCCCCTGATTCAGTGTAATAGGCCTCAGTGTTAGTCATTTCTGGAGTCTGTCACTACAGAGTATGCGTTCTGTGGTCCCTGCATGCAAGTTTATCGGGAGGAAGCTTCCTCGAAATTTCCTTTCGATACACCCACCTCCGAGGTTCACTAGTGAGGGTCAAACTGGTGAGTCAAACCTGTCTTGACTGGTCACAGCACCAGCGTCATTAAAAAATCGCGTTGACAAAGCGAATTCGCGCCGTACGGAGCAACGAATTTGCCCAATCACAGCGAAATGGCCCTGACACAGCAGATTTGAGCTGTCAGAGCACAAAGGTCTTGACCAATCACAGTAAAATGTCTCTGACATTGCACATTCGCCCTTTCACAGAACAGATTCGCCATCAAAGTTCAGTTTCGATAATGCACAGCGCGTTACTACACGTACCCTGATCGTGACTTCTCGACCCTGAACACTCAGCCTGTATAACTTCCCAACACTGAGCAATCAGGGTGCTGCTTTTCTGGAAAATATGCCTTCAGGGTAAATTTTTTTTTTTTTGGTGGACATCAGGGTACCTAAATTTGAAACGTCAGCCCTGGATCCTGGTACTTACCCCACCTTTGGTCTCCTAAAACCCAGTCTAATGCTCCATATGAAGAGCATGCAACCAAGAAAAGGTGATGTGATGGGGATCTACTTAGAGAGGCACCAGAATTTGGTTGCCTCACAATCGCACGACAACACAGTGCCCCCCCAGCCCACGCTAATGATAAAAGGGAAAAATATATGCATAGGAGAGCACTCCAGGCCCGCCCGGCCTACTGGTCCCTAAAGCGGGCACAAAAAAGCGGCATTAAAAATGCATCACACAACACCACCGCAGATCAGCCTAATGGTCTCTAAAGCGTGAGGGACCGAAGGAAGGTGCGAGCATCTGGAAGAGTCCATCTGGGTTGTCGGTGTGGACCTGGTGGGATGGAGATGGGGATACGGAAGAAACTCTTTGAGAGGGTATGCAAGGACTTGCTATCACACAGCGTGAGGGATTGAAGGAATTAGCAAGGATCTGTATCAAGCCACACTACCTTGGCCGTGCCCCACTGAACACGCCAACCATGCTTCTCAAAGGTTCAGAAACTCCTCTCAAACACCTATCAGAAGCTTAAGAACACCTAGGAACCCCCTCTTCACCGGGCTGCACTGCACTCACCCAGTGCCCGGCGTCTTCCAGCACGTCCATCCTCACAGCAGCGCCATGCCCATTGCCTCCTGCTCTGCTCCCACTATCCTCCGAATGTCCCATTGCCCGCATGAACAATGCCTCTGAAACACCTAGAAATCCCTCTGAAACTCCTCTCAGACGCTTTAAAATGCCTACGAACCCCTCTCCACCGCACTGCACTCACCCAGTGCCCAGCGTCTTCCAGCACGTGCATCCTCACAGCAGCGCCATGCCCCATTGCCTCCTGCTCCGCTCCCACTATCCGCCGAATGTCATCCCGTGCCCACCGGTGCAGCGACCTCTCAGCCCGCAGGAAGTTGATGTGCACTCCCTCTGGCACGTCCTCCACTAGATGCCTGGGAGGGTTGATTAAAAGACATTCCAGCAAGCAGGAGTTAAAGGGAAAAGTTTTAGCAAAGGAGAAAACAGTTGTAGAGAAATCCTAGCTAGTTTACGTAGAATTCAGGAAAGTCGAAGCTCTTCAGTAAGCAGTGGCTAAAACACGGACAACGAGGAAGTTGATGTGCACCCCCTCAGGCACGTCCTCCACAAGATGCCAGGAGGGATGTAAGAGAGGGGGAGGTAAGATAGGTGCCACCGCAGAGCATCGTTCAGCACCGCTCTGCCCACAGGAAGTTGATGTGCACTCCCTCTGGCACGTCCTCCATTAGATGCCTGAAAGGGGTGGGAGACAGAAAGGCCGCACCGCACCGTTCAGCACCGCTTTGCTCAAAGGAAGTTGATATGCACGCCGGCTGGAATGTCCTCTACTAGGTGCTTGGGGGAAGGGGAGAGTTCTGTAGTAGATAGTCACCGCACAGCACCACTCAGCACCGCTCTGCTCCAAGGAAGTTGATGAGCACCCCCTCTGGCACGTCCTTTACCAGGTGCCTGGGGGAGGGGAGGTGTGTGTCGGGATACTGGGTAGAGTACAGTCCCGCACACCACAGCACACCGTACCACATCCCACCCCACCAACCATACATGCTCCCTCAGCTAACCACAGTTGGTGGTTTCATACGACGAGTACATCTGAGAAATCCCTTCTAGATCAAACTCCCACCTATAAGCCGCCTGCCCCCGGCTCACAACTCCACCCCACCCCACCCCACCACACCACGCACCACACCACACTACACCACACCGCACCGCACCGCACCACGGAACATAAGCTCTGTTCTGCTCACCACAGGTTGGTGGTCTCATACGAGGAGTACATCTGAGCAATCCCCTCCAGATCAAACGCCCACCCATACGCCGCCTGCCCCCAGCTCCACACACCGCACCACACCACACCGCATGGCACCGCACCACACCCCACTGCACTGCACTGCACTGCATCACACCGCACATTGCCTAAGCTCACCACAGGTTGGTGGTCTCATACGAGGAGTACATCTGAGAAATCCCCTCCAGGTCAAAAGTCCACCCATATGCCGCCTGCCCCCTGCTCGCCGCCCTCGCCGCCTCCTCATGCAGGTGCTGCTGTGAAGGAGGCAGGTCCTGAAGCAGGCCTAGTGAGGGCAGGTGCGTCTTGGACAGGTTGGTGGTCATCCACTGCGCGATGGGCTTGGAGAAGCCTTGTGAGAGGAGAGAGCTCACCACCTCGCTGCGATCCAATATCTGGGCGGAAAGCAGTATGGAGTGGAAGGGGAGCAGGAGCAGGGTGGTGAGGTTGGTAGTCATCCACTGCGCGATGGGCTTGGAATGAGCAGTGGGGGAGGGAGGTTTGGGGTGAGCAGCAAGGGGGGGCAGCATGGGGCCATAAACAAGGGATCAATGTGGGAGGGCGGTTGAGGGCGGGAGTAGTGTGCAAGGTAGCGAGAAAAGTTTAGATACTAGAAACATCCCAAGGGTTTCTACTGAAGATTTCTACAAATAAAGTACTGAAACAAAGCCTTACCAGTGGCGGCATGCCTCTGAGTGCGTCGATCAGGTCAGCAGGATGATCCTCCCCGTCGCCCCCTGCCCTCACTTTGCCCGGTGTAGCGTCCAACACCCACACCTGAGTGAGGAGGGGAGAGGGAAGAGGGTTGGTGATGGTGAGGGGGAGAGGTGAGTGGCGAGTCAGTATGAAAATGCCTGAGAAAAACACAAATACACTTGTGGTTCTCAAAGGAAAAGCAAGTGCAGTTCTGGTTCTCAAAGAGTTGACAGCTAAGTTGACTTTTGGGTCGAGCGTGGGTTCTAACACCCGTACTTGAGCAGAGGAGAGACGGGGAGAGAGCTGCAGAGAGGGGCGCAGCGTGCAAATACCTTGATAGCGCTGGGCATGGGCTTGGCTGCTTGGTCTATCATGCTTAAAGCCACTGTGTGGTTTGATAAGGGGGAGAAGAATAGAGAGGAAAGCAGGAGAGGAGGGGAGGAGGGTGAGAATGGGAGGGGAGGGATTGAGCGCATGGGCTTGGCTGCTTAGTGTATCATGCTTAAAGCCCCTGTGTGGTTCGATATGAGGGGGAAGATTGGAGGGGTAGAGGTAGGGGCAGGAGAGAAGAGAGGTGAGAGGAGGAGAGGGGACAGGGAGGGCACTGGGCATGGGCTTTCTGCATGGTCTATCATGCTTAAAGCCATTGTAAGAGTTGCTGGGGAACGTCAGAGGGTGGCTTGAGAGGAGGCTTGAAATGGATGGCATCTCTCGGGAACGAGGGGAAGAAGGAGAGATGGGGAGACGGGGAAGAAGGGGAGATGGAGAAGAAGAGGAGATGGGGAAGAAGGGGAGATGGAGAAGAAGAGGAGATGGGGAAGAAGGGGAGATGGAGAAGAAGAGGAGATGGGGAAGAAGGGGAGACGGGGAGACGGGGAGACGGGGACAGGGGGAGCCGAGGGGGCGTGTGGAGAAGAATAGGGCAACAGACGAGCATGCAAAAAGGAAGCCAGATAGAATAGCACCACAAGGGAAAGTAACAGAGGGGGGGGAGAGGGGGGGGAGGGGGTTGGGTTGGGGTGGGGAGAGCAGTGTGCAGGGAAAGTGGGTAAAGGGGAGTCAGAATAAAAGTCTATTTATGGGGGAGAAAAGTCGAATGGCAATTTAGAAAAGGTGTTGGATGAGCTTATAAAGAGGATGACGAGGTTCATTAGAAGTGAGTGTACCTTTGCCGCCGAAACTGTGGCCAATGAGAATGCGGGGAGTGATGCGGAGACAACCCATCTGAGGAGAGAGGGGAAAGGGGACGAGGGGAGGGCAGAGGGAAGAGGAGAGGGAAGGTGAGGTGGGATAAGGGAAGGGAGAGGAGGGGAGCGAAGAGGAGAAAGAGATGAGAATTCGGGGAGTGATGCACAGGAAAACCATCTGAGATGAGAGGGGACGGGGAGAGGATAGAGGAGAGGGGAGGAAAGATGAGAGGATAGAGGAGAGGGGGGGCGAAGGGGAGGCAAGTAGAAGATGATGAGAATGCCGGGAGTGATGTGCAGAGGGCACATCCGCGAGACAAGGGGAGGAGAGCAAACAGAGGTAGGTACTCACCAGGTGCAGCACGTCCTTGGCTGCAGAGTGCACTGAATGCGGCCCCAGGTGCCTCGATGCTGCTGTGGACGCCCCGTGGCAACGCAGATCCACACACAGGAACTGGAGGAGGCGGTAGGGAGGGGAAAGGGGAGTGGGAGCGGAGTTTGGAGGGGGAAGGAGCAAGGCATGGCCGAGAGATGCTGCTGTGGAGGCGCCGTGGCATCGCAGGTCGACACACAGGAAGTGGAAGAGGGGGGGGGAAGGGGAAAGGGGAGTGGGAGGGGAGATTTGAGGGGACGGAGCGAGGCATGGTCGAGAGATGCTGCTGTGGAGGCGCCGTGGCATCGCAGGTCGACACACAGGAAGTGGAAGAGGGGAGGGGGGGGTGAAGGGAGGAGAGTGGTTACAGGGTGAGGAAACACGGACAGGAACGGATGGGAAAGGGGCTGGAGTTGCAGTGGCTGGTGTGGTGTCTTGATGCTGCTGTGGACGCCCCGTGGCAGCGCAGGTCCATGCTCAGGAAGTGGGGGGGTGTAGAAGAAGGAGAAGAGATTGGGTACAGGGTGGAGGGAGCAAGGACAGGAAGATAAGGGGAAGGCATGGTTGAGAGATGCTGCTGTGGAGGCCCCGTGGCAGCGCAGGTCCATGCACAGGAAGTGGAGGGGATGGTGAGGAGATGGCGGGTGATTACAGGGTGGAGGGAGCAAAAACAGGAAGGGAAGGGAAAGGAGCTGGAGTTGCTTTGCGATGCTGCTGTGAAGGCCCGGTGGCTTCGCAGGTCAACACACAGGAACTGAAAGAGGAATGGGTTTTGGCAGATTTTGGGGGGGGTGCGAGTTTTGGTGGTGGTGGAGGCGAAAGGAACAAGGCATGATTGAGAGAAATGCTGCTGGAGTTGGAGGGGGGAAGGGAGGGGCAGAGAAGGCCAAACGTGCACTCACATGCACGCACGCACTTACGCACATGGGCACATGGGCACATGGGCACATGGGCACTTGCCAGCCAGGTGGGGAAATATTTAGCTGTTTCCTGAGAAAACGAGCCTCAGTTGTTGCCGTGAATAGTGGCATGCAAGGCAAGCACTAACCCACCCACCTGCCAGGCGGGGAACTCTGTGGCAACACGGCCAGCAAAAGAGCCCCAGTTCTTGCCGCTGCCTGGAATGCCGTGAATGGATGAGCACTGCTGTGGGGGGAGGAGCCTAATGCCGCCCCTCCCCTCACTGCACACACCAATCCGACAAGGACACATGCACCCACCTGCCAGGCGGGGAACTCTGTGGCAAGCCTTCTGGCAAAGGAGCCCCAGTTCTTGCCGCTGCCCAGGATGCCGTGAATGAGCACTGCTGTGGGGGGAGGGGGCTGGCGGCGAGTGCGGTCCTCCGACCAACGCACCTGATGGGTGGGTGGGGAGGGGGGAGAGGGAGAGGAAAGAAGGAGAGCGAGAGGGAGAGGGAGAGGGAGGAAAAAAGGGAGGGGCGTGATGCCGTGGATAGATGAGCACTGCTGTGGGGGGCGAGGGCTGGCTGGCGGCGAGAGCGGTCCTCCGACCAACACATGAGAGGAGGGTTTTTGAGTCGACTCAAAAGTTTTTGAGTTTTGAGTCGACTCAAAAGTCAACTCGGCTGGCTGGCGGCGAGAGCAGTCCTCCGACCAACACATGAGAGGAGGGGAGGGGGAGGAGGGAGGACAGAAGGAACGGAGAGCGAGAGGGAGGGGGAGGGGGAGGGGGAGGGGGAGGACAGAAGGAGGGGTGGGACGCTGTGGTCGGGAGCAGCTAGCGGCATGTGTGGTCCGGGGAGGGAGACGGTGGGGGGAGTGGGGGAATACCTTTGAGTTCTCAAAAGTAACACCATCGGGGGAGGGAGAAAGTGGGGGGAGTGGGGGAATGACAAGCTCGAGTTTCTTGAATTGGAACGAGCTTGGAGGAGTGGAGGGACCCATTCCTGATGGCTTTTGAGTCGACTCAAAAGTCATCTGGAACGAGCTTGGAGGAGTGGAGGGACTTGTTCTCACAAAACGGTTGAACGAGACAGGTGGGTGGGCGAACAACAAATGAGAGAGGAGAGGAAAGGAGGAAAGGAAAAGGGGAGAGAGGAGATGAAATGAGGAGAGGTAAGGGAGGACGAGAGGTAAGGGAGGAGGAGAGGAAGGAAAGGAGGAGAGGTAAGGGAGGAGGAGAGGAAAAGGGAGAAAGGAAGAGTGCTCACCAGTGCGCCTTGCACGAGCTCGTATGACTGGACGGACGGAGGGAGGTGCGGCACACACAGTTGGCCCGGGCGATTTGATGTGGGTGGTTGGGTTGGGGGGAGAGTGGGGAGTGGAGGGGGAGTGAGAGATAAGTGAGGTGGGGCCAGAGCGTGAAAAGATGAGGCTGAACATGAGTGCATGATGTTTGGATGGCTCGGAAATAGGGTACAGCAGCAAGCAGCATCTCAATCTGATCGTTTTTTAGAATGATAACAAAACGACCTACAGAAAGAAAGCAGCAAGCAGCGTCTCACTCGGAAGCAGAGTACAGCGGTAAGTGAAGTCTCCACCTGGACCAACCCGGAGGAAACGTGTGCCTGTCTGTCACAAGTCTCGAAACAAGTTTCCAAGGAAACATGTGAACCACCACGGCACATAACACCGCACCGTGCCAAACCTCGTGCAACCGCGTCAGAAGCGTTCGACATTTCGATGCTTGCTCCTCCCAAACCACTCAATCCAACGCGTGCCTTTTGCTCCCCTCCCCTCCTCTTGCTCCCTTTCCCCACCCCTCACCTTTTCCTCCCCTTCCCCTCCCCGCCCCTCCCCTTCCCTCTCCCCCCCTCCCGTCGCCCTCTCTCTCCCATCTCTCTCGCCTCCCCCCTCCCCTCCCCTCTCCCTTCCCTCCCCCTCCCTCCCTTCCCCTCCCCCTCCTTCCCCTTCCTCCCCCGCTCACCTGCCCCCAGCAACCACGCCACTCACCAGCTCAGCTACGGGACTCGGCCCTCCTGAGCCCGGGAATCCACCTTCCCCCCTGCCTTCCTCCCCCGCTTCCCCTTTCCCCGACTCTCCCTCGCTCGCACCCGCTCTCCCCCGCTCCCCCGCCCCGCTTTCCCCCTTCCCCCAGAGACCACTGCACTCACCAGCTCAGCCACCGGACTCGGCCCCGCCCTCACCCTACCTTCCGTTCCCTCCCCCTCCCTCCCCCTCCCTCCCTCTCCCTCCCCTTCCCTCCCTCTCCCTCCCTCTCCCTCCCTCTCCCTCCCCCTCCCTCCCCCTCCCTCCCTCTCCCTCCCCCTCCCTCCCCCTCCCTCCCTCTCCCTCCCTCTCCCTCCCCCTCCCTCCCCCACTACCCCACCCCCCCAGAGACCACTGCACTCACCAGCTCAGCCACCGGACTCGGCCCCGCGCTGGCCGCATGTCCGTCCAAAGCTTGCCCCACCTCGCCGCCCAGCAGCACCTCCCGCATCTCCTCCACCGACGGCTCCCGCGCTCTCCGTTGCCGATCGTACGGCGGAGACGAAACGAACTCGAAACGCGGCCCGACAACTGTCTCCGTCGCACCGCCGTCAGGCGCAGCGGCGGCGGCGGCCTGCCTGCCCCTGCCGATGCCTTTCGCGCCGGGAGCGGAAAAACGCGGGGCGGAGGCGGCGGAGGCTGCGGAGGAGGCGACGGAGGAGGAGGCGGAAGAGGCGGAGGAGGGTGGAGGGGAGGAGTGAGGAGGGGAAATCGGAGACGAAGGAGAGTGAGGGGAGGGGTCGGTGAGAGACGCTTGAGTTGGGGCGAATTTGACTATGCGAATGCCGTTGACGATTCTGGTGGTGATGGTGGTGGTGCAGCTGCTGCTGCTACCGAGTCTTATGTGAGTGTTGGAATTAGGGGCGGCGGGAGATGCTAGCAGGGGGAACCGAGGGAGGGCGTTTCGGCGTGTGACTGTGCCGGAATGGGACTGTAAGCGAGGAAAAGGAGGGAAGGAGGGAGGTCAAACGCAGAGAACAATACAGGGAGGAACACGGTCGAAAGTATTGAAACCAAGTGGCAGGAAGAAATCTCAACGGTAGGGAGGAAGGTAGGCGAGAAGGGAAGGGGAGGAGGGAAGGAGAGAACAGTAGTGGAGGAGGGAAGGAGAACAGTAGTGGGGGACAGGAGGCGGGACGCACCGCTAAGCGCGTGACACCCTTTGAGAGCGACGCAGACGATGATGCGGCGCGGGGATGAGAGATGTCAAGCCCGGCGGGGGAGCGCGGCGGGGTGTGGAGGGATCGCGACAAGCCGGCCATCTTGGAGACAGACATGGCGGCGTGACGACGGGCGACGCGGGCGAAATTCGCGATTTCGGAGCGTGAAAACGTCGCAACGTCGACGCGTGTGGAAGTCCGCAGATACGATGCGAGAGTTCGTCACAAACTAAAACGCACACGGCTCGAGTAACGTGCACGGATGATCGTACGTTGGCGAAAAGGACGTCACAATGGAAACGCGAGAGCCGTTGGATACGATCAGCAGGAATGCTGGAAAAAAAAGCGGTAGAAGAAAGCCGCAGGTGAGCGTTAAGGATGTGAGTTACTCTTCGACCTGTCAGTTTCTCTCGAGAGACAACTGCACCATTCTCCAAGTGAACAGAAGGTCGGGAGGGGGGTGCCTTGTGGTTGGGTGGGGTGGGGTGGGGTACGGAGACTCGCAGCACGCACCTGAGGAACTCGACTCGAGGGATGGATGGAGGGTGTACAGAATACAGATCAGCCATGCAGGCAAGTTGTGGTCGTCGTGACTCCCCAGATTTGCTCGTTGCACTCGCTTCGCGACACAGAGCTTTGCTGTTTGTGGCCGTCGATTCTGTCAGAGCTGTCGCCAATAGAATGAGATGGTGTTCACGAGGCATATACGAAAGTAACAAAGTTCGTCAACCCTGAACAAGGATCACAATCTCGATGTTCTGTGTTCGACGCGGTTCGAGGCCACCTTTGCTGGCTGGCGAAGCGAGTGACGATTGGCGAACTGGCCTCGCACAGATTCCGGAAATGGACGGAGAGTTGACCCTCGTTCACTGTCTCGACTCTCCATCGAGTGGAACTGAACACACACGTGTACTCCCAGGCAGAGCACTGAAACCGTTCCGCGAACACCTGGTCAATTCACCACCATCCAATACATTTTCAGCATCTAGCAGGGTTTTAGGATGACGTGGAAAACCACATCCAACCACGGAAAAGTCTCGATACAGCTAGACTTCGTCTCACCTGCACGTGTGAGACTGCAGATGTCGAGTCAGTTTGGAAGGAACCCGAGAGAATTTCTCCAGACCCCGAAACGGTGAATTGCCGTTGCAAACCTCGCCTCGAATTGCTCGAGTGGTCTTGCCAGAGGTTTCCTCTGGCATTTTTTTAATCCGGCTCATTACCCAAAACCGGTTTTTAGCCCTGAAATTCTTACGTCGAACGTGTCTCTTCCCGCGAAAGTGTGGCATACCCGGAAAGACGTGCACGAGGGCGACAACGTCACTATTCGGATACGCGACAAAAATCAGCACACTCATCTAGGCAAACAGTTGCGCTCAATTTCGGTCCATATCGTAACCAATCCGCGCATAGTTATATGATTCCACGATCATATATTCCGTTGGACGGATGTCAGTACGCGCGACCAATTACAGAGTGCGCCTGATTGGTCGAATTTATGCGCGGGGCCTTTTCTGACCTTGCGCGTCCAATCAGACGCGGTCATGTAAGATCGCGCTCATATAAAACCGCATATTTACCTATATGAGCGCGCATATGTGATGCTCGAATTGTCAGAATGCTATATAGCTTATACATTTGTGTAGGCTATAGTGGGGTATGTGGAAACAAAGAACGAGAATGAATGACTATGAAGTGAAGTGAATACAAATAGGAAACCCTAATGTGTTGTACCCCCTATGGGATACCCCACTATAGCCTACACAAACAAGTAAGCTATATGTTCTGACACACCCCCATAGGCAAAGTGGGGGAGAACAAGGGGTCACAAGACCAGTCAAGCAAAGCAAAGCAAAGCTCAGGGTGGATCACAAAGTCACCACGCATTCCGAGCACAAGTTCAAAGGCCACAAGGCCAGTTCACATGCAAGATCATATATAGAGATATACAAGAGCAAGAGTATATATATGCGAAGGTACAAGCAAGGTCAAGAGGAGAGCAAGTGAGGCAAGACAGGCACAAGACCCAACTGCGTGCAGCAACGCTGATGATCACAAGGCGCAAGTGCCTTGGTGAAGACATCAGCAGTGTTGGCCTCAGAGGCCACGTACGCAAGTCGCAGCTGTCCACGCTGCTGTAGCTCACGAGCAAGAAAGTAGCGAAGAGCAATGTGCTTCGTTCTGTGCTCCAGTCGCTGCTCTCGACACAAGGCCAGCATGGCCTTGTTGTCTACGTACAGGACTGGAGGAGAACGAGGCTGCTCTCCAAGGTCGGTCAGCAGGTAGGTGAGCCAGCGTAACTCCTGTGCAGCCATAGCCCCAGCGTAGATCTCAGCCTCACAACTGGAGCCGAGAACAGAAGACGAGCGGGTAGCCCGCCACGAGACAGAGCCGGAACCAAGGCTGAAGGTGTAACCCTGTGACGACCGCTGCGTAGCCTGGTCGTCAGCCCAAGAAGCGTCTGCGTGCCCAGTGAGGACCACTGGACTGCGCCCTCCAAGCACTAGCCCCATGCCCGACGTACTGCACAAGTAGCGCAACACCCTCTTCGCTGCAGCCATATGCTCTGGTCGGTGTCTCCCAAGAGCAACAAAGCGTGCGAGAATGCTAAGAGGGTATGCGAGGTCAGGTCGTGTGCAGGTCATCAGGTACATGAGGCAGCCAACAAGCTCTGCAAACGGGCCACTCGACTCTACGGACTCATCCGAAGGCAGAGCTGAGAGCGAGTGGCGAGTAGGCAGAGGAGTGGCCTGAGGCGAGGAGTACGTGAAGCCGAAGCGCTGAAGGACCTGCTGCACCATGTGTGACTGAGTCAGGGTAATGGTGCGGCGTGCTCTGTCCCGGGTGATCTGCAAGCCAAGGTAGCTGCGCAGTTCACCCAGGTCAGTGCACGTGTGTCTCTTCTGCAGCTCGGACTTCACGTAGGCGAGTCCAGCAGTGTCAGCTGTGGCAAAGACCAAGTCGTCGACGTACACGAGGATGTAGAACGGCGGCAGAGAGGTGTCGGTGCGCAGAAACAGCGACGGGTCGGCAGTGGAAGGAGCAAACCCAAGTGCCGCGAGCGTAGTCCTCAGTGTGTCGTGCCACTCACGTGGCGCCTGGCGGAGACCGTAGACTGGACGCCGGAGACTCCACTGGGTACCCGGAGGGAAAGACCCAGTGAAGCCAGGTGGGCGACGCAGCCAGATCTCCTCGTGCAGGCTGCCCTGCAAGAAAGCTGTGCTGAAGTCGAGAGAGTGGAGCTCGTAGTCACGGTGAGCAGCAACGTGCAGCAGAACCCGAAGAGTGGTCATCTTCGGGGTGGGGGAGAAGGTCTGAAAGTAGTCAACCCCCTGCCGCTGACTGAAGCCACGAGCCACGTAACGCGCCTTGAAGACAGGCGGAGAACCCGGCGGCCGCTTCACCCTGAAAATCCACATGCCACTGACGATGTTCGCCCCAGGAGGGGGAACAGCGTCAACGTAGGTGCCTGTGGACTTCCAGGAAGCCATCTCTGCATCCATAGCTGCCTGCCACTGAGAGGAGTAGGGACCCTCTATCGCCTCCGCGTAAGAGCGCGGAGTCGGGATGTCTGGTGCATCCGGGTCTCCCTCAGGGGCTAGCAGTACAGACGCGAGACGAGGTGAAGCGGCGGCCAGACACTGGAACTCCTCCTGCCTGTCCTCAAGGACGTCCGTGCCAAGGGCACACTCACCCCCGACGGACGGAGGACAGACAGACTCAGACTCAGTGACAAGACGAGCAGCGTAGTCTAGACGACAGCGCGCAGCAAAGTCGACAAGCTCAGTCACAAGGGCAGACGCAGCAGACGACTCGAAGGAAGGGTCAGTGACAGCAGTAGCAAGGAGACGCGTGACAGTAGGACTGGCAGCACGAAGAGAGTCCGACTCCGGGTCGGCAAGAGCAGGAAGAGAGGAAGCAGGAGGAGAAGGCAAAGGGGCACGCAGAGGAGCAGTGGACGGACGCAGTGACATCCGGTGCGTGCCAGGGACAGGAGGAGGACGCTGACGCGATCCGCGACCACTAGCGCGCTCAGTACGAACAGGCGACACAGGACGAGACGCAGGCTCACGACGCTCAGTAAGACCTCCAGTAGGACCAGCGTAGGGAGAAGGAGCAGGCAAAGGGGAGGCAGGCTGTAGCTGTGGCTGTGACCGGACAGGCTGCGGACCCTCTAAGGGAGGAGGAGGAGGAGGTGTAAGACCAAGAACCTGCAATAGGAGCGGAACGAAGTACGGTCGGGGCCGCGCGGCGACGCTAGAAACAGCAGGAACAGCACCAGCAGCCCCGGCAGGTGTACCCACTCCAGCAGCACCTCCAGCAGCACCACCAGAAGCTCCAGAACCTCCAGCCGCAGCACCAGGAGCACTGTCAGTCGGACCGCCAACGGCAGGCTCAGCGCCAACACCCTCAACAGGACCAGCTCCAGGAGAACTCTCAGACTCAGCAGCTCCAGCACCCACAGTACGAGCACCGGCGGGGCGCGCAGCACCAGTACCCTCTGCAGCCGAAGAACCACCAGCACCAGCAGCACGCCTCCAGCGCCTGGCAAACCACTCACGCAGCTCCCGTGGGGAGAGTGGCTCCAGGCTAGACGAAGCACCCCCAGGCACAGCACCTCCAGGCTCAGCACCCCTAGACACAGCACCCCCAGGCACAGCACCCCCAGGCTCAGCACCCCCAGGCTCAGCACCCCCAGGCTCAGCACCTCCAGGCTCAGCACCCCCAGGCACAGCACCCCCAGACTCGGCACCTCCAGGCTCAGCACCCC